TTTTTTTTTCTGTGGATTGAGTGGTGTCTAGCATTCACCCCCCCTTACTTTGATGACTTTAGGAAGAAAAATCAGGCAACACGGGGCTTGTTCTTAGGCCGTATTTTTCCACTGGATGAAACACTCAACAGATGTTGTGTTCTCTTGGAATAAGTACACTTGAAACACGTTGGCAGAATGTTCCGAATTGATCTATTTAACTCAGAACTGGAAACAAAAACATTTCTGTTTTATTCACAGCCCTACCCCTCCGTACTCCAGGCTTACCCAACTGCACCCATTTTAAAAGACTCGCTTTCAACCTGAGTTAAAACGTGTGGTTTTTTTTTCTTTTCTTTCTGGCTCAGAACTCAGAGGCAAATTATCCTGAACCTTCAGCCTTCTCAACTCAGCATTTTTTGTCGCTTCCTCAACCTTTGCTCCAGCAAAATGCCAAAGGTTCAAAAATAAATAAATAAAAATCAATTGTTCCTGCAATACGAAACTTTTAATCTTGACACTTTCTTGGTAAAGACAGGAAATTAATACCTCTCCTTAATCTTTTTTTGTTTTTTTTGCCGCCTCTGATGATAACAACCGAAACAGACTGGGCTTTATGTAATGACTGTACTAGATAGAAATGGAGGAGGAGGAGGAGGAGGAGGAGGAGGAGGAGGAGGAAAAAAAATAATTTTAACTAACTATAGAAAATGAGGGCGTTCACAGTCAGTGGTAGAGCTGTTGGCCTAATTGATTATGCCTGAAAAATATTAAATTCTGGGACAGGGGAATTTCACGGAGGGGTGAAAGGTATCAACTTTTGTCTCCAAATCCATACTGTTCATGTCCTCCTCCAGTATTTGAAAGCAGGAGCAGTCAATGTGCAAAACCAACATCCAACAATAAAGAATACAATCCAGAAAGGCTTACAGCAACCTTATTTTTTCCCCCCTCTTTTCCCCAGTCTGACGCAAGAGGCTCTCTTCGCTGCCTTTTCGAGCAGACCTTGCCCCAAAGTTTATTCCCTAACTCCTTCCCTACCAAGAGAGGGCACAAACAACACAATTCTTTGCAGGAGCCAGGCTGGTCTTTTCCCCTATCGGCATCGGTGATGGAAACCATCCCACGCAATGGCGCAACTCAAATGGCAACATGTCCGGCCAAGCTTTCCTTGGGAAGGTGGAACTCAAACGGCATGTTTTCCTTTAAAAAAGAAAGAGAGAAAAAGGAAAAAAAAAAAAAAAGGGGGGGAACGCACACCTTCACCTTGCTTGGATTTAAAAATGAACGGTTTCCGTGGCAAAGGGTTGCGAATTGTCAGGTTGGCAGAACTTCTTCCGGTCTTTCAAGTGCAAAGAAGAACTTGAGAAATGTTTAGGTGGACTGGAACGATGAAGCTCAACCTAACTTTGAAAATGTCCCTAAGAAAGGCAGGATTCACAGACGGGGTTTAAGGCTCTGCATGCATTCGTAAAACCCTTTTGCCAGTCACTGTTTTGTGGGAGTCACAGTCAAGAAGCGAGAGGTCACCATCTTCCTTGGGGGTCCTGGTTATTATCTCGAGGAACAAACTTCTGCTCATCTGGAAAGGGATACTTGAATATATAAATAAGGAAACTAACCTCCTTCCCTGCCTCCACTGCGTAGGAGTTGTTATTGTCCTCTTTGTGCGTCAACTCACTGGCCAAGGTGTTCGGGGCTCAGGCGGATTAATTAAAATGAAACTTAAAATGAAAGTTCCCGGAGCCAAAGGGGTTAAATTCGGACGCCCACTGGTGCTGATGTCCTGATCCTCCTTGTTGATTCTCTGGGTCTAAAGGATCCTCCCCAGAGTCAAATTTCTGTCGCATTTCTGGAAGGGAGGGAGAGAAATAACAGAATAACAGAGTTGGAAGGGACCTTGGAGGTCTTCTAGTCCAACCCCCTGCTCAAGCAGAAGCCCCTACACCATTTCAGATAAGTGGCGGTCTAATCGCTCCTGAAAAGCCTTCAAGGATGGAGCACCCACAACAACCAAACAAGAAGACGTTAGGAGTGGGTGAGAAGAACAGGCCCCCAAGTCTTAGTTTGATATTGTCAGCCCTCTCAGGAAAGCTATAGGGGAAACA